GTCCGTAATTGACAACTCCGTACACACAAACAGTTTCATTTTGATCATCCACTAGAAATACTGGGCCACCGCTGTCGCCTAAATGAAAGCAAAAAAACTACCAAAATTGACGTTTCCAAACGAAAATAAAACACAGATAGCCGGTTACCGTGCAAATAGCACAGAATGATCCAATCATAGTCTAGAAAACACTTAGTTTCGTTTTTTCAGCGTGGCGTGATCTGAGATCTATGAACAAAAAATAGAACGTAAGCATCTTCGGCAAACATAGTAAAATAGGCTAACTGGAAAACAGTTTTTCTAGAAATTTTTTAATTTTTTTTTTGAAATTTTCGATTGTCCAAAATTGCTTAAAAAACTGCAAAAACTAAATTTTACTTGAGAGAATGAGATAGGGACCAGTTTTGAGTTTATGTAAGTGCTATCAATTGTTCGAGGTAGAAACCAGTTTGAGTTTATGTAAGTGCTATCAACTTGTTCTTTCTGTCTGGGGACCTGCTGTCGTGACCTTGCGATCTCTAATGTCCGATGGGATCTGAAATAAAAGAGTGCAGTAAGATTTCGATTTGATGCCTAACAGTTTGTCTACAATACAACTTATCAACAACCTTTTTGATCTTATACAGTTACGACTTTAACATGGCGCAGCCAGCAGAGAAAAAAGGAGGAGGAAAAATCCATTAAATATAACAGCATTTTGGGAGACACGAACACCGGAACCTCCAGTTTACTGGGAGGAGTGGATAATTAAATTTCACTGGGGGATGATAGCAAAATACGACATTGATCCCGATGATTTCTATTTTGCGAGTACTCTAAACGCGGCGGCTATCACAGCGTTGCCTGAGGAGGTCAATGGGAAAAACCGTCTCGATTCGGAAAAGAAGTTAAAGTCTAATCTATATCTTTGTATGGGAGACGAGGCGCAACGGATATTCAAAGCACGAAAACCGGCGGTTAATATTAAAACGGTACGGTACCCACGGGTCCTTGATGAGATGCAAAATGTTTTTCAACGTGAGCGGAATGTAACTCATGAACGGGGACTTTTCTACGGACGAAAACAACGTGAGAATGAAACGTTCGAGAAATTCCACGCGGAATTAAGCGCCCTAGCAGGTAGATGTGATTTTGCAAATGCGGCCAAAAATGTTCGTTATATTTTCATTATGATTATGCGGGAATCGGATTGCCAACGAGAATTATCACGATCAACAAAGTTACCTGAAGAAGTCTACCGGATCGCCTTATCATATGAACGTGGTGAGCGCGCATACAAATCATCTACGGGAAAACCAGCTTCAGCAGCTCCGGCGATTTCAATAAAACAGGAACCGGTAAATAACATAAGAAGGGGACAAGGATTTTTCCGAGGTCGAGGACGCGGGGGACGCGGAGGATACACCCAAGGACCAAGTAGTGGGGGAAGCGGCAATAACCGTAGGTGTTATCATTGCGACGCACCAAATTTTACCCTTGACCACATCGCAAGCTGCCCTGCAAAGGGAGCAACATGCAACTCGTGCCGAAAACTGGGACGATTTGAACGAACATGTCGAGGATTTAGGAGGGGTACTAACCAATGGAGAGGACGAGGACGAGTCGGCTTAGTTAGAGATGAAAATGAGCATCATCAGAGTACGCAGAATGTGAATGACTGGAATGAAGATCCAGTGTCGTGGGTGAACCAGCATGGAAGCGGGGAAAATGAATCCATGACGTCAGGATCGGACGATTACATGGTATTGTCAATAAAAAGGAAGAAGAATGAGACTGAACTGAAGATCCCTGGGGCCCGAGTCCAGGTTGAGGTGTCAGGAAAGAAGATGTGGTTGTGGATAGATAGTGGATCCCCAGTGACGATTTTAAGCATAACGGACCTAAAAACAACGTTAGGTAAGGCGAATATTCAACTACAGCCTTCAAAAGATGAATTCTTGGATTACAATAACAACCGAATAAACATACTGGGAAAGGTAGCAGTGATGATGTCGTTAAACGGTTGGGCAGCACCAGCACAAGTGTCAGTAATATCCGGAAATCATCAGTGAATCCTGGGGCGCGATCTGATGGGCACCCTGGGCCTCGAGTTAGTGCAACAGAAGAAAATGATGGGAATCACAGGGGAAGGGAGCTGTCAAGAGGAGAAGGAATATGACGAATTGCAAACATACTTCTGTAAGTTGTACCCAAATTTACTTACTAGAATAGGGAAGATCCGGAACGCGAAAGTAAGTGCTGAATTTTTTGAAAATTTGAGGCCTATACAACAAAAAGGGCACAGGGTGCCTATCAGTCTACAAGACAAGGTGGATAAAGAAATTCATCGGCTGATAAACGAAGGGCATATCGTAAAATTACAAGAGTGCTCAGATAAGTATTTCGTCTCCCCTGTCGTGATTACAGTAAAAAAAGACGGAAGTATCAAATTAACGCTGCAATCAAGAGAATTGAACAAGCAGGTACACAAGAATAAGTACCAAATGCCAAATATTGACGAACTAGTAGACGGAGTAAGTCAGATTATCGCGGAAAGAAAAGCGGGGGATGTATATTTTACAACGTTGGATTTCACATATGCGTGCGGACAAGTCGCATTAGAACAAAAAACAAGCGAGCAATGCAATTTTTAATTGTCGGCGGGAAATCCACGGGAGCCTATCGTTTTAAAAACGGATTTTACGGGCTTATGTCAATGCCGGCGGAATTCCAAAAAGTAATTGATAATTTACTTAAGGAATTCCCTCAAGCTAACGCGTTCATAGATGATGTTTTAATTGCTTTAAAAGGAACTAAGATCGAACACATTGCGTTGGTAGAAAAGATATTGAAAATGCTGGACGTCTCCAATGTCGCGTTAAAATTACGAAAATGTGAATTTGCAAAAATAGAGTGCGAATGGCTCGGATATCGGATTGGGGAAAATGGCATCACGCCCATAGTAAGAAAAACACAAGCAATAGAGGACCTGAAAACCCCAAAATCTCGAAAGCAGCTGAAGTCTTTAATGGGTTCACTGCACAGCTAACCCAAACTCGCGGATATAAGCGCACCTTTAAGACCATTATTGAGTCAAAATAACAATTTTGTCTGGACGCCCGTTTGCGAAAATGCGTTCCAACAATTAAAATCGCTCGTGGAAAATATTGTCGAATTACGACATTTCGACATTCACCGTGAAACTAGAATTATTTGTGACGCTAGTCACGATGGCCTAGGGGCCGTGTTAGAACAGTATTGCGCATCCGGTTGGCATCCGATTTCGTTTGCATCCCGTTACCTTAATCCGGCTGAAAAAAGTACTCTTCGAATGAATTAGAGTTACTCGCGGTAGTGTGGGCCACGGAACATTTTCGAAACTATATATATGGCCGGTATTTCACAGTCATATCGGATCATAAAGGGCTACTTACATTGTTGAATTCGTCACCGAAGGGAAATAAAACGTTCTTCAGCCGGTTAACTCAATGGTATGATCGACTGGTGCCATATGACTTTAAAGTTGAACATAGACAAGGGTCGAAAATGGGGATGGCAGACTATTTGTCTCGGTTTCCGTCCGCAGAGGCACCTGAGACAAGTCATTATGATGAAAATTTTACAGTAGCGAAGATAAGATTGATAACGCGGCATTGAAGCCCAAGGATAAAATGAAGCCTAGGGGTCAGAAAGTGAACAAAATTAGGCCAAAACCGACGGTAGGGGGCGAGCTGTCATGTTTCGACACAACGAAATCAGTTTCATCCAATGAGAATGAAAGAAAAGATGAATATGCAAATATTCACTGTGAGCACGAACGATCAATAGAGGGCGTGTTTACATGCAACCCGCGGTTAACCAATCAGCGTCGAGATATTTGCATACCGGCAGAAATATGCAAATACCGAAGAAAGAAATTCAGACGTTGTTCTCATTGCTTAAATTACAGTTGCAAGCCTTCAATTTTGAATAATTACAATAGCAAGCCTCCTATTTCTTAATTCTGAATAATTTGAGTAACTTAAACGATAAAAACATGAGTCATTCGCCTGAAAAAAATGATCCACCAACTTCGGCCATCGTCAACACATCGACTAACTCTGGAAATGTGAACCTCAGCGTTGTACTGAACCTGTTAAATCAACCTCCCAGTGTTAGTTCGGATTCAGATATTGAAATGATACCACCCGAAAAACTTGATAAAAAACAGACTAATTCTAAAAAATTAAACACGATCATCTCTTTTCCACACCAGTTCCCCGGTTTATCATACCCACTTGTACAGAACGACAAATGGATCTATTCTATAGTGCCATCAGACAGTAAAATAGTGAAAAAGATTGAACACCCGGAAGTTCTGAGTTTAAAATTGATAGAAGCAAACATTGAAAAAGATCCAGTTATGAAGACCATCAGGGATAACATCAGAGACAAAAACCCACATGCAAAGGAGATAGTTACAAGACTAGGACAATACTACGCTCAACACTACAACGATTTTGCAGTACGTGAGAATTGCCTGTGGATGGACGGCCGGTTAGAGATTCCCAAGGATCTGTCATCAGCAATCTTCAATCGTCTACACTATAACCATCATGGGCGTGACAAAATGTTTGCAGCCGCAAAAGACGTGTGGATTCCTCTTATGCATCGGAACATCCCTGCTACAGCAAAATACTGCAAGAGATGCTTAGAAGCTGGTAAAAACCTAAAACCGGATATTCCAAAAAGTGACATGGGGGAAACTTATGTGTCTAAGGAACTGAATGATTTAGTCCAATTTGATTTCTGGGGCCCAGTCAATTACGTAAGGGGTCGCAAAAAGTATGTACATGTAGCAGAAGATACTTTCTCGCATTGGCCGTCGGCGTATGTCTGTTCAAGTAACAAGTCTAAAAATGTATTGAAGTTCCTAAGGAAGTACATAAATACTCATGGACACCCAAGGAAATTGCATATGGATCGAGCTACTGGGTTTTTCTCAAATGAAATTCAAAATTTCTGTAACTACGAAGGTATCGAACTTATTAAATCTCCGGTTAGGGATCATCGTGCGACAGGAATGGTCGAAAGAACAGTTGGGTCGATAAAAACTACGTGTTAACTTATCTTCAGGAAGATAAAAACTATAAGTTTGGATCAATCATATCTTGTGCGCTCAGCGCTTCACGTTTCGTGCCACACTCTAAGACTAAATTAACGCCTTTTGAAGCCTATCATGGACGAGAAGCAAATACGGCTCGGCGAAATTTAACGAAAAAACCGTCATTGAAAAATTTAAATTGGAACAATGTTGTTAACCAAAAGTTATCTTGTTTAGATAAGGCGGGAAATCTCCCGGATGTAGAGCTCACCCTAGATTGAGAGAAGAGAAGCGATTTGGTGTACGCTCCACAAAATAGAAAAGCTCCAATCATTATGGATGACGAGGTGGTAGCGGGTCCCAAGGGTTGTAGTTGGAAGCAGTTGACCCCAAGGAAATAAGATTGGAAGTAGTTGACCCCAAGGAAATAAGATCGGTCAGGAAGTAGTTGACCCCAAGGAAATAAGATCGGTACCTAAAGCTCCAACATGGGTCAAAAAGCACAAATCCAGCGCAACGACCGTTTACCAAAGGACTGGAAAAACGGATCCAAAGGACCCAAGAAGGTATAAACGTTTGCCAGTAAAAATTGAAAAATTGACTAAGCATACGGTGCAGATGAAAAAAGGGTCGTTACTAAGGCGGAGTGGTGTTTCTTTTAGATCGGCGGCCGAAGAAAGCCAAATTGAGAATAGAAGCGATGCGTGCACCCCAGGACATAGTAAAAGAGTACATAGTACCCCGGGCCCAAGTGAACCCACAAAGTGTAAGCGAAGAGCCGAAAAGGATCGGGTCGAGATGGAGAACGCGCGAAGATCGACGAAACAACGTATAGTAGAGTACAGTGCGGAAGAGAGCGAGGACGACGAAGATACCGAATGGGAAATTGAACAAAACGAACCGGTAAAGATTACGGCGAGCGAAGGAGACGATGTACCGTCGGGAACGGCTAGGGAGAGATCACCAAGAACCGTCGGTGGAAAACGAAAAAAAGGCGAGTGCGAGGCAGCGATGAGAAAATCAACACGACAGAGACGCGGAGTTGACAAAATGGGGGGAGTTATGATCCACCGAA